CGCCGGCCTACCCGCGGGTACACAGCCTCGTGGGATACTGTTCCCGCGGGTGGAACCACGGGTGGGGCACTACCCGTAGGTCCACCCGCGGGTACATGGTTGGAGTTGGAGTGGGATTTGTTCCCCGTGATTCGGTTGTCTCGGTATTTGATCTTTTGACTTCCCCTTGTTCTTTTGTGGAACTATTTGAGCGTCTTCTTGATATTTCATAGGTCTAGAACTATATGGTAGGTATCCATGTAGGCTCTTTGGTGTCTTGAATCGTGCTAAGTGTTCAACATTGTGCTTCGTTGAACCAAGAGGTGTCTTGTGTGTTCCTCGGAATTACCTTGAGTTTCCCCGTTGTTAAGCATGCTAGTTTGTTGTCTTAATGCTAGCGTGTGTGTTGTTCGTACCTTCCGTGTGGTTGATGTTAACTTGTGTTATACATCGTTGTTGTCGTTGGGTGGTGACCAATTCCTTGATTGAGTATGTTTCATACCTTCGTTGTAATCCGTTGCTTGACTCGTGTGAGTTGTTGTGCGTGTGTGGCTTTACCTGGATTGCACGATTAGTGGTATGGGACGCTAGTCACCAAGGTATTGCAGCGGTCCTCGTGGTGGCCGTGACGTGATTATGAAGCTGTGTTCCTTCGAGAAAGGTTCACGTGATTGGGGGATAACATGTGTTATCCGGGCATGTGTGCCATGTGTGTGTACGGTACCTCGTGTACTATGAAATTGGTGGTCTTATAGGCAGGTTGTTGGTGGGGGACGACGGTCCCGGCGGAATAAGGTTGGACTTGGCTGTACAGGGGTCCTGGACGTAATGGTTGAAGAAGGTATAAGGTTGGGGTAGCCATAAGGTTGGAACAGGGCATAAGGAAGGCATATCAACTCGTGATGTGTGATGTCGCGAGGGCTTGTGTAGCCATTGTGGTGAGTTCTCTTTCTTGCGACGTGTGTAGTCACAAGGGCATGTGTTGCCACGGGTGAGTTGTATTTCCTTCGTGTTGTGGTAACCTTTGTGGTTTGGGATGTGTTCCCGGTGTTATCTTTGAGAGTGATGAGTCTTGTGTTGTCTTTCGATCTTGGCTTTTAACTTATATACTTATGTATTCCGTTCGAAAATGTGTTTTCTATCTTATATCTACCTATATATGATACTTAACGGTATTGGTGGGTTACCAGCATTATCGCTGACCGGGCGTCGTCCCATGTTTATCTTTGTATCTTTCAGGTGATGTTTAGACGAGCGCGATGTCTAGAGCCTGGTAGCTTAGCACCTTTATCTTGTTGGTTTTTGTGGCCTGTGCGCCCAATGTAGTTAGATTGATGTTTTGGGATAGTTTTATACACTTTGCAGATTGTTCGCCGTAGCGTTTACGGGTTTGGTAGACGTGGCATAACACCCGTTGGATTTCTTTTTATCCATTTTTCGTTTTTATGTTCCGTTGTGCTAGTTTTGTTGTTTAATCTGCATGTGTTGCGGGGCATTAGTGGTGACTTCCAACAGAAGGTTGAGTGTTGCGGGGCAGAACTGAAACGATGGGGTGGGGATTATTTTCGAACGTTTCGGTGCAAGGTGAGACAATTGCAGTGTTCTCTAAATGGGTTAAGGAGTAGCCAACTTGCGAGTGATGTGGAGCGGTTCCAGAATATGGAGGATGAGCTGCGGAGGTTGCTCGCTCAGGAGGAGGTGTACTGGAGGCAGCGGTCCAAGCAGCTGTGGCTTAAAGAAGGTGACCTCAATACAAATTTTTTCACAAAGCAGCGACGAGCAGGTGGGGCAATAATTTTTTGTGGCGCATTCAGGATAATGAAGGACGTTGGGTAGAGGGGCAAAGTATGAACACGGAGATCCTAAGGTACTATGAACATATTTTTCATTCTGCATCCTGTGATGACAGTATACTCCGTAGAGTACCATGTCGTATTACTCATGACATGAATACTCAGTTGCTGCGACCAGTGGATGCCGAGGAGATAAAATGGGCTCTTTTCTCTATGTCCCCGGATAAATCCCCGAGGCCTGACGTGATGACCCCGATTTTTATCAGTCTTTCTGGTCGATTGTGGGTGCTGATCTTACCCGGTTTGTAATAGATTGTGTTTCCACTTGTACTCTGTGTTGGTCCGATAGAGTGTAGCGAGAGTCTAGAGGGGGGGGGGGGTGAATAGACTCTTTTCGTGAAATGCCCTAAAAGTCACCTTTCGGTGTTTTGGCGCAGCGAAAATGTCAAATTCGTTTGTTCGCTTTGCACGAGTTTACGATATGAGTAAAGCTTTCGGTAAAGGTGATAATGAGAATAATATGAATGCAGAAGGAAAATGCGTAAGTAAGGAGATAGAGGGGACAAGAGATTTTATAGTGGTTCGGCTAACGTTGCTTACTCCACTCTTCTTCCACAACTGATGGAAGGATTGCACTATCACTCTTTAGTACAATTACACAAAGACCTCCTTGATCACTAAGCCGGACAGCCTTCGTAGGTTTTTCAACTCCTCGAGTTTACTCCGCCTCTATCAACTTCTTCTTCAGAGTTGAGGTTGGTAGAAAATGATTTCTTGATTTCTCAACGTGATGAAGTCTTGACTGTGAGAGATGATTGCTTCGTACAAATGGCAAGACTTCTTTAAGGTGTAAGTAAATGATCAATAACCTTCTTCAAGTAACTTAACACCTTAACACTGGTTCACAAAAGCTTTTAGAGATTTGAGAGCGTTCAAGAGCTTTTGCAAGTAAATGAGTCGAGTGAAAAGAACCAGCACCTTCTTAGTTGATGAAGGTGGGTTTATATATGTGATGAAAATTCATCCGTTGAAGAGAGATGAAATTTTCGAACCTTTTAACCATTGGATAAGGACCGGGGAGCTCCATGCATTAAATGCTCCATTAATGAGGTTGTACCATGTAGCCGTTGAAAGTATGGGAAGCATTAGGGTTTTGTCCTTTAGCTCCAGGAGATGTACCTCTTTATTTAATGCTCCTTGGTAATCGTGTCCCATGAGATCCTTATTGTCCTAGGGTGTTGTCAAATCAGACAGATAGAACATTTTTCTCGTTGTTGAAGAGAAGTAATGCTTGGTAAGAATCGTCTTTAACAAAACTGTCCTTTCGTGGTAGTTGACAATTCCTGCTTGACTTTCGTTGTTGTTCATCATGCTTTGTGTCTTCTTTCGTCTTGGAGACCCTATCAACTAGTTATAACTCATTTTCGTGTGTTTGTCTAGCTTAACACGAATTACAGGGGAGTTATGGCAACTCTTGTCTAGGACGAAAGCAGCGATCGAAAAAGCTAATAGTTAGGGGTCTACTTTCTACATTACATTGGTATCATCAAAATCCTAATACAAGGTTCCTAACAATTTCCCCTTTTTGATGATGCCAAAACCTATACCCTTCTTGTAAGGCTGAAAATGATTCCATAAAGAATTTTTCTATTATAAAGCAGCCTTACGTGAGAGTGTGCAAGTCTCTTCTAGGATGAAAGCAGTAACAAGTAAGACAAGGACAAATAACTCAGACAAGTGACACGAGATGTGTGACAATGAGAGTTTCATATTAAGATAGTGAGAATTACAAAAACTTTATGATGAAAACAGAACGAAAGATATCTTACATTTCTAAGAGCTTTGACTTCTGTTGATCAGCTTCCTTATGTTCTTTGTCGTCTTTTTCCTTTTGTTGCTTGAGAATTCTTTTGAAGTCTATTTCCTCATTGATCTTTTTTCTGAAGATCTTAATCGGATTCGTCTTGACAAGATCTTCATGTTTTCCTTTGATATTTAAGCTTGTGTAGTTGTTATAGACTTCACGAATGTTTCTTCCTTCGACTATCCAGCTTTCCACCACGAAATTAGCTGAAACGAATTCATTCCTTCTTGATAACTTTTTCCTGACTCTTGTGCACTTTGAAAGCTGCATTGTGAATAACACTTTGTGGAGAGTCTTTGGTTACACTAGAAAGATCTTCGATGAGATTCCTGATTCTTTCTCTTTCCTTTGCTTCATCCTCTCTCTTTTGATTCATCATGCTTCTTCCACAGTTCTCTGTTTTCTCTTTTGATCCTTTCGTTTTGGGTGCTTATGTGATCTTGCCTTGTGTGATTGTCTCTTGTTTTAAGCCAGGTAGGAACGTTGCAACCCTCAAAACGTTTACCACTTCCTTCTTCATAGGGAACAAAGTCCACAAAGTTTCCTATGCCATCCATAGTTACTTTGTTGTTCTTCATAAGTTTCTGCCTTAGTTTCGTCTGTTCTCTCTTGGAAAACCCGTGAAGATGTACTTGGCTTCAGAACCAAAAGATTGGCGAGGCTTAAGTGATCTGGATTGGTATCGACCATGGTATCTTGGCTTTGAGGAATGGTGACACGAGACCTTGATGGAGGATGGGATGGATTTGTGTTTCTTCGGCCAGAGTCTCTTGGTGTTCGAGAAGGCGAGTGTCTTGCTTCTGGAGACTGATCTTTCGTGTTATTTCTCGGATGATCATCATCCTTATCCTTGTCGTCATCTCTCTTTTCCCCCTTTTTAGCATCATCGGCACAAGTGGTAGGAGGAATAGTGGAAAGCTTACTTACTGCTACCAAGATGTCCTGGGCATATCCGAGAATTTGAAGAGCATATTCTCCCAGTTGGTATGAGTTATCTTGATAGGTATCGATTTTTGTGCAGGCTAGGTCAACACGCTCTTTTAGGCCGAAGTGAGAATGTTTGAGTTCGTGTTGTTGCCGTGCAACTTTTTTCATGGTGGTGTCAAGTTCATGAAGTTTCTTCGCAATTCGCCCAAGGAACTTGTGATCTGATTGAGTGTGTTGCGACAGTTGAGGCTGTTCTTGAGGTGGAGGCTGAGGTGAGAATTGGGCAGCCATCAGAAGATCGACCTTTTGCATAAATCATCTAAGACTTTCGTGTCCTTTTCTCGTAGAACAAGATATTGCAAATGAATTCTCGGCTATATGAACAGTTTCTCGCATGTGGTTCATAATAGTCCGTGGGGACTCTGGAGTTGAATCTTCTACAATGTTGGTAGGCGATGTGTCCATTTGTTCATCCTGAGGTGGTGCTTCCCTTTTTCCACCACTTGCTGAGCTGAGGAGAATAGGTGAGGCTGCCAGTTTTTCCTCAGTTGCTACTCCACGTTTAATAGGAGTTTTGTCCACAAGTGGAATATGTGGAACAATCGCACGAGACAAATCTTCGGATGATCGTTTGAAACCTGTTGATCTTGGTGTGAAGCTTCTTTCGGGTCATCACTGTCAGAGGGTAATTGTCTTAGAAGAGATCTTTGAGGAAAGGTATCATAATCAGGACCGATCAATATTGGATCACTGTCTTCGGGATCGGCTTCTTGGACACCGGCATTACCCAAATTATAATCGTTGTCATTGTCATCATCATCGTCATCATGTTCATCATCTGCATCTTCAACATCATCGTCATCATCATTTTCATCTTCCTCATTCATGTCACTTTCGTCTTCTTCAATTTCACGTCCATGCTCATCTTTCGTGCCACTGACATTGCAATTTGGATCATTCTGGTGTTCCATTTCTAAAGTGGTCTTGATCTTTGATAGCAGCATGGCATACCGAAGTTGCTTCATTTCTTCTTCCAAAGCCGGATCTAATGGTGGTTGGTTAAGTTCAATGCAGATTGGAGCTTTGTCTTTTCCTAGAGTGCGATTGGTCATCTTGTAGGAGAAAACACGTTTATTTCTTCAAGACGAAGTGTTTTGTAGACATCATCTATACCAATCCACTGCAGTGCAAATTGTTCTTCGTCTTGCATGGCTTCAAAAGTTTCAACAAATGTGTTTAATGGGGCTGTGCGCCACTTTTGCCACTGCATAACTCATTGATAATCACTTTCAATAGATGCTCGGAGTACTTGATCTGGTGTTGGTGCTTTGGGAGCTGGGGCTGGTTCTTTCGGAATGGCTGGAGTTGCTACTGTCATCACAGCTGTCTCGTCTACCAATCCAGGTTCTTGTGTCAGAATTACCTGCTCTGTATTGGTAGGTTCTTGTGGATGAGACGAAACATCAATCATTGCAACAGTTGCTTCTTTCGTCTTGTCTGGTGAACTAGGTTCTTGTGGAAGATTTAAG